GTTGTTTGGCGGGTCTGGGCTGGGGATTCGAACCCGCCACCTTAGGTGTATGTGGCTGGCGCCTTAGCTGGTTGAGCTATAGGTGCCAAGCCCGACATGTTATTTTTAATGGATTTATTTAGGAGTGAAATTGCCAGGTCATGTGGTAATTATTTTAAAAATTATACAAAATAAAATTTTAAAATCTGTATTTTACACATAGTAGGTTGACCCTTTCTCCAGAAAGGATGTTGGAAGGTATTTGGCCAGGGATTTGAGTTGGCTGTAACGTGTTTGTTTTGAAGGTATAGCTTGAGTTATCTTAGTTTTAAAGTAAGCACCTTCCTATTATCTGTGAAGCATAACTTGACTGGGTTTGAGACTTCGGCTTAAATTTCTTTCTAGGTAAGCCCCAGTTAACTCTCATGCCAGAAGGCCCTCACTGTAAATTTATCTTAACAAAAGTTAGGCCTTCAGCATGGACATTTTAATTAGTTGATCCATTCATGTTTATTCTAATCATACACCCAGAATGTGAAATCCTTTCAGGGCAGAGCATGAGGAAATTCAAGGATAGGGGCATCAGCTCTGCTGGAATTTGAACAAAAGTTTTTTTTTTTCCCCATTTCCTCTCCCTCTAGAACAGTGGTTCTCAACCTTCCTAATGCCGCAACCCTTTAACACAGTCCAAAGGACCCACAGGGTGAGAACCACTGCTCTAGAACTTGCTGCAGAGAAAGGGACTTGGTGGGGTTTGCTAGTTGGGTGATAGGCCACTTTGGCTTGTAGCTGGCCCAACCCATTCGTGCTCCTTTCTCAGAAATGGAAACCCGGAAAGAGTTAGGAGGCTTTCTCAAGTCACACAGCTAATGGAGGGGCAGGCATGTCCCTTGGTTCTCAGCCTGGTACTCTTGTAGACTCAGAGAGACCTAGCTTTATAGAGGACCATTATCTTTTGTACTTCAAAGAACTCTGTTCAAACACCCTACCTTAGTTCTTAATCATTTGTTTTAGTAGTTAATTTGGGAGGATTTGTTTAACCTTCTTAAATCTTTCATACTGAAAGATAATTTATAAGCATATATAAAAAAGCATGTTCAGAATAATGTAAAATTGTGAGGTTTTGCAGCACAGAAGATTAATTTTGTCAATATGCTTTTAGTGCTATTAGGGGCTTTTTTAATGAACACTGGTAGCCACTGCCTATAAACTCTTTCATGAAGATTTTTGTTCAGATAGGTGGCCACATAAGTCTCTGACTTGGTATTCACATTTTCTTAAGTGATGATAAGAACATTTAGAATTTGGAATTTTCTCTTCAAGTCAAGAAATCTGGATCCAAATATGTTCTGCCAACTAGGTAAAGTTTTCCTTACTTATCTACCATTAAAAGGCACGTTAGCTTATGAAGCGAGGTTTAGTTAAGCAGATACTAGGGGCTTCTATGCACTTGACCAGAAAATTATCTTATAAAACAATGGCCATGCAGCATATAGACTAGATAGTACCGTGGGGAAAATGGTGGAATAAGTTAGAGGAGGTTGGTCACACA